TGGCTCACGCCTGTAATCCCAGCACTTTGGGAGGCTGAGTCGAGTGGATCATGAGGTCAGGAGATCGAGACCATCCTGGCTAACACAGTGAAACCCAGTCTCTACTGAAAATATAAAAAATTAGCCGGGCATGGTGGCAGGCGCCTGTAGTCCCAGCTACTCGGGAGGCTAAGGCAGGAGAACAGCGTGAATCCGGGAGGCGGAGCTTGCAGTGAGCCAAGACTGCGCCACTGCACTCCAGCCTGGGCGACAGAGCGAGACTCCGTCTCAAATAAATAAATAAATAAATAAATAAAATAAATGAAGTTAGTCCATTTAAATAACTTCCATTTTTGGAAGGCTACATGTCTGGGCATCTGGAAAGGGGGGCTAATAATCCAAGTGGGGAACTATAATGCTATGTATCAATAGGTCATTAACAACAAAGGCAGTGGCAGTATGTGATAAACGCTAAGGGGGAACAGACATTTTGTCTCCACGTGCCAACAATCTCCCAAATGTGTACTTTGTAGGTGGTTCTCCTTAGCACCAGACCCTAACTCCAGGTGTCTCCTGTACAGCCGCTCTTGGATGACTCACAGTCACCTCAAATCTCACCTGTCATCAACTATATTAATTTTCTTTCCCTCCTAGGTCTATAATGCTAACCATCCACAGCTCAGTAAATGGTACCACTGTCCACCCAGTGCTAAGCCTGGGAGGCGCTCCTGCCTCATCCCTTGCCCTCACCCTCAACACCCAATCAATTACTAAATCCTATTCAATTTTACCTCATAGACTGTCTCTCACATGCTTCACAGCCCCATCTAAGCCTAGATCAGCATCATTTCTTGCCTGGATTTATTCAACAGTCACCCACTCATCTCCATGTTTCTGACCTTGCTTCCCTCCAACTCATTTTCCACTCTGCAGACGGTAATCTTCCAGAAACACATATTTGATTTGATTAGCCCTATACTTAAAATTCTCCAGTAGCTTTCCATTCTTCCTATTGCTGTAAGGATGGTTTTTAAATCTTTTGCAAGTTTGCTCCTACCTACCTGACCATCATTCATTACCCATTAACCCAGTCATTCAGCAAACACTGAGCACCTACACTATATGTGAGGCACTGTTGGGGGTGCTGGCAATATATCCATGAACAAGAGAAATCAAAAGACTTTGTTCTATACAGCTTACATTCTAATTGGATGAGACAGTCTATGACCATACCACTCTGAACGCACCAGATCCTGTCTAATTGGAAAAGACAGACATAAATAAACATATAAATATACTGGGTTAAAATATAAGTACTATGGGCCAGGTGTGGTGGCTCATGCCTGTAATCCCAGTACTTTGGGAGGCCGGGGCGGGTGGATCACCTGAGGTCAGGAGTTCGAGGCCAGGTTGGCCAACATGGCAAAACCCCCATCTCTACTAAAAATACAAAAAAAAAATATTAGCTGGGCGTGGTGGCAGGCGCCTGTAATCCCACCTACTTACGAGGCTGAGGCAGGAGAATCACTTGAACCCAGGAGGTGGAGGTTGCAGTGAGTCGAGATCACAGCATTGCACTCCAGCCTAGGCAATGGAGTGAGACTCTGTCTCAAAAAAAAAAAAAAAAAAAGTACTATGAAAAAAGATAGGGCAGAAATATTGGGAGTATGGAGATAGAGTAGAGTGCTGCAATCGTAAATGGAGTAGATAGGCCTCTCTGAGAAAGTAACCCTACAAGTGTATGAGAACAAACTATCCCAGAGAGAAGGACCAACCAGGCCAAATGCCCTAATTTCCCATGTTTAAGGCACAATGAAGCCTGTATAGGTGGAGTGGAATGCACAGAGGAAAGCAGTAGAAGAAGTCAGACTGGTAAAGGAGGCAGATCATAAAGCGCATTGTAGACCATTGTAATCCCCTACCTGTGGAGTGCTTTGTAGAGAGTATGAGATATGGCAGGGTGCAGTAGCTCACACCTGTAATCTCAGCACTTTGGGAGGCCAAGGAAGAGAGGATCACTTGAGCCCAGGAGTTTGAAACCAACCTGGGCACCACTGTGAGACCTCATCTCTACAAATAATTAAAGAATTAGCGGCTGGGTGAAGTGGCTCACATCTGTAACCCCAGCATTTTGGGGGGCTGAGGTGGGCGGATCACTTGAGGTCAAGAGTTCAAGACCAGCCTGGCCAATATGGTGAAACCCCATCTCTACTGAAAATACAAAAATCAGCTGGATGTGATGGCTCATGCCTGTAATCTTCGCTACTAAGGAGGCTGAGGCAGAAGAACTGCTTGGTCCTAGGTGGCAGAGGTTGCAGTGAGTTGAGATCGTGCCACTGCACTACAGCCTGGGCCGTCTCAAAAAAGAACAAAAAAAAAAAAAGAATTAGTTGGACATGCTGGCACACACCTGTGGTCCCAGCTATGTGGGAGGCTGAGGTGGGAAAGATAGCTGGAGCCCAGGAGATTGAGGCTGTAGTGAGCTATGATTGTGCCACTGCACTCTAGCCTGGGTGACAGAGTGAGAGACTCTATCTCAAAAAAAAAAAAAAAAAGAAAAAGAAAAAAAGGAGAATATGAGATACTAACGAGGAGGCTACTGTGATAATCCAGGTGAGAGATTGTGGTGGCTTCAACAGGATGGTGTTCCAAAGCGGTGAAAAGTGGTCTGATTTTGAATATACTCTGAAGGCAGAGTCATCAGAATTTTCTTACAGATCAGATGTGGGGAGGGAGAGAGAGGAGATGGGGCGGGGGAGAGAGGGAGAGACGGGGAGAGAGAAATAGAGGAGTCTAAAGTTTGTCTTGAGCAAATGAAAGAATACGCTACTGACGGGGAAGACAATGGTGAGAGAAGCAGGTTTGGAGAGAAGGTCAGGATTTCTGTTTTGTACATGTTAAATTTGAGCTGTCAGATTTTAAATTGGAGTTGCCAAATAGGCAGTTGAATATAAGAATATGGATTTCATGGAAGAGGTCAGGGCTAGACTATAAAGTTAGGAGTAGTCACCCAAGAGATGGTATTTAAACCATGAAACTTGCCAGCACCAGAGAATATTTGAAGAGGTCAGAGGACTGAGGATAAGAGGTTGCAATAAGAGTCAGTCAAGGATACTGAGAAGTGAGGTGGCAGTAAAACAGGAGTGTTGATGTCTTAAAACCCAAGTAAGGATACTGTGGCCAGGAGGCCACTATTCAATTGCGTCAAATATTGCTTTAGATGAGATCTGGAAAACGGATGAAGCATCTCAGAGGTCAACACTCCCTCCCTAGCGAGAAAATATCAAACGTCTTTCACCTCTCTCCCTCTTTGGCTGCTAAACAATATGTTTTCTGCTCATAACACTTCCCATTCGTTTTTCAGTTCTCAACTTAAAAGGTCCTGCTGCAATCGGAGAAGCTTCTCAAGACCAATGCTATTGTTACCAGGGAAGCGACACTTTATCAGAGTCAATCTACTTAATTGACTCTCTACTGGGCTTGACTGTAAGGACCTTAAGTCAGACGTGCCTATGTTGTTTACTTCTGTACCCAAACATTCGATAGAACTCCGAGCATAGTACCAAGCTCGTAGTAGGTATCCCATATATATTTACAAAACCAATGGATAAATGCTAGGGTGGAGCGAGCGATTACTGTTGGCCTAACTTAGGGGATGTGTAGAAGGGAGTGCCTAAAACTAGGAGTGGACGCGGAGGGCTCTGAACAGGGTTCAGTCTCCCATTCCATTACTTTTGCAAGTGTAATACGGACCCTTTGTTGACTCGAAGCAATTCCCCTGCCAGACACTTTTTAGCTGTCCACCCCGCCCCACTACTGGCCACTGTCTTCCCCGGATCTCATCCCAGACACTCACCCAGCCGCGTGGTGCGTTCCCGCGACGCCGCGGGCTTGTCCCCAGTCCCATGCTCGGCCTCGAGCTCCTCCTGTTGCTGCCGTGCTTGCTGCAAAATCCGCCGGCTGAGCCGGGGTCCCACATACTCTTCCTCCGTTTCTCCGGTCCTGCGACCCCGCCGCTTCTCCCGGACCCCTGCCCGCACCGCATTCCCAGCCAGGATCTGATCGGCCAGGGGCGCATGTTTTTCCTGACCCCCGACCCCACGGGCCGCCTTCAATTTGGGCATTTTTCTCGAAAACGTTGCCGCGGAGGTTCGCACGTGGGGACGGCGAAAAAGCCAGAATGCGCTTGCGCGGTGGACTCCCGGCTCTCAAGAGGCCACGCGGCGATCACAGCGCCCCCTAGCATTCGGAGGCCAGAAGCGCCATCAGCACCGCCCTTCCCACTAAAAGAGCTCCCGGGTTCCGGAGCTGGACTCCCCAATATATTCACAGCCTTTAACGTTAGCTTCTCTCAACAGTGCAGTCTTTGAGTGTCGCTCTTAGCTTCATGGGTCTAGGCCTAGAGTGCTCAGCCAAACGAGAATGTCTGGATTTAGAAACCTGTGGGCGGGAATCCGCAGATGATGTCACTGGAGGTGTCACCGAGGGGCCCTGAGACCCGCCCCACTCCTTGGGGAAGGCGTGGACCCGGCGCTCTGTTTTTACGTATTTCCGGAGTCTCTTCCGAGACCGAAGGTTGTGTTGGGGAACTGAAGCAGTTTCGGTGGGCGGATAGGGAACCCTGCGTTTCTACCGTGTGATCCGGCCGCCTTCCTGGCCCGACGCCATGGGAGTGACTTGGTAGGACTGCAGGGGGTTTTGTGGGGCGGAGCTTGGAGTTGTGAAGGGCCGGAAAGAGGACCTTGACCGTGGTCCGCCGTCCCCTGGGAGCTGTCCTCGGGTTGTGTGGATGAGAGGATGCCGTGCGAGCCGCGGGTTCCCCGGCCTTGTTTCCTCGGAGATGCGCCCCTTCCTCTTGGAAGGCGGGAAAGCAAAGCGAAGTTTTTGTTTGTTTTTTTTTTCTTTAAGACGGAGTCTCGCTCTGTCGCCAGGCTGGAGTGCAGTGGTGCGATCTTGGCTCACTGCACCCTCCGCCTCTTGGGTTCAAGCGATTCTCCTGCCTCAGCCTTCCGAGTAGCTGGGACTACAGGCGCCCACCACCACGCCCGGCTATTTTTTGTATTTTTAGTAGAAATGGGATTTCACCATATTGGCCAGGCTGGTGTCGACAAAGCAAAGTTTTTATCCCAGGAACCTATCAATGGTTGTGTACCTCATTCCCTTCTAGATTCATTTTCCTTCCCGTGAGGCCATAGTACTGCCCGCAATGGGACGTCAGGGTTGGAAATAGAGTCTTTGGACTGTGACCCACCTGCAGACAGGGTTGGAGGGAGTGGGTTATAAGCAATCAGGAAACAGTATTTTTAAAGATTTTCTTTATTTTTCTTTATTTCTTTTTCTTTCTTTCTTTTTTTTTTTTTTTTTTTTTTTAAACGGAGTTTCGCTCTTGTTGCCCAGACTGGAGTGCAATGGCGCGATCTCGGCTCACAGCAACCTCCGCCTCGCGGGTTCAAGCCATTCTCCTTCCTCAGGCTCCGGAGTAGCTGGGATTACAGGCATGCGCCACCACGCCCGGCTGATTTTGTATTTTTGGTAGAGACGGGGTTTCTCCATGTTGGTCAGGCTGGTCTCGAACTCCAGACCTCAGGTGATCCGCCCGCCTCGGCCTCCCAAAGTGCTGGGATTACAGACGTGAGCCACCGCGACCGGCCAAGATTTTTGCCTACCCTTCCCTCAGCCATCAAATGCAGTTAGACCAGCTTGTGTCTGTTTCTAATTTGCGCATTTTAAGATCTTGGGTCCAGAGGGAAAAAGAGGCTATTGAAAATAAGGAGATCATGGTTCCAGGCACTTTATCTCTTTAGGACCCGTTTCCCACTATGTTTAATTCCATGGTTAGTCTAGTTGCAGAGGAGTTTTTATCTTTCATAGGTTTTAAGTCTCCGTTGGAAGAAGATGAGGTAGCAGGGAAAGGTATGGGTCCAGTGCTTGTGGAGGCGTTAGTTGTAAGGTGCCAGGTCCCAGAACATTTTTTTCTTATCTCAGTAGATGTGAGCATTTTTCCCCGTGGGAGAAACCCAGAGGCCAGGATATCTGAAGCCAGTGGCTATAGGCTTCTCATACAAAAGCATGTGTAGGGGAAATACTTTTCCTTCTGGTAGCCCAGGTTCTTGCAGGTTTCTCAGTGATTGCACTCTTGTTTCCCACAGTTCACATCATGATCCTCCTGTGTTCCTTAATGGAAGCAAGATATGTGAGGGATGGAAATAGAAAGGATGCAGCGTAGAACCCTGGAACCCCATGTTCTTTCTTTTTTTTTTTTAAAGAAATAGAAATGGGTTCTTGCTGTTTTGTACATCCAGGTCTTGAATTCCTGAACTCAAGCGAGCCTCCTGCTTTGGTGTCCCAAAGTGTTGGCATTACAGACACGAGCCACCATGCCCAGCCACCCCTGCTTTTTAAATGGAGAAGGCAGCTCCAGGGCAAGGGCTCTCTGTTGGCACCCTTATCAACGTTTTCAGAATCCTAGGACTTCTGTCCCTTGTAGCGTCAGTTTAGGGATTCTTTTATATTTCAAAATAAGGCACATTAGCAACATTGTTTATCAGTGCTTTTTCTGATAGAGTAGTGACAATTTTTAGCAACAGAAGGACTCTACCCTAATAGATTCATTTAGTTGATCATAAAGCAATGTCATCTATGACTGTTTTCTTGATTTCTATATAGCTAAGTACTGCCTGTACTATTGTTTATTAATTTTTTAAATTGATCTTTTCCTTAAAAATGTTTTAACAGGCACTACATCCCTATACAGGCAGTCTAGTTAGTGGTTAAGAGCATGGACATGAAACCAGGTTGCTGGGCTTTGAGTCTTGGGTGTACCACGCATTAACTGTGTGACCTAGTGCAAGTTATTTAACCTCTTTGTACTGTACTTAAATTTCCTCTTTTTTTTTTTCTTTTTGAGATGGAGTTTCGCTCTTGTTGTCCAGACTGGAAGGCAGTGGTGCGATCTTGGCTCACTGCAACCTCCGCCTCCTGGTTTCAAGCGATTCTCCTGCCTCAGCCTCCCATGTAGCTGGGATTACAGGCACACACCACCACGCCTGGCTAAATTTTGTATTTTTGGTAGAGACAGGGTTTCACCATGTTGGCTAGGCTAGTCTTGAACTTCTGACCTCAAGTGATCCTCCCACCTCGGCCTTCCAAAGTGCTGGGATTACAGGTGTGAGCCACAGTGCCCGGCAGTTTCCTTATTTGTAACAAGTTGATAAATAACATCTTCATAGGACTATTGTGAGGATTTGGAGAGTTAATTCATCTAAAGGCCTTAGGACGCAGACTGGCACGTTGTTGGTTGGCAATTGTTACCTACCACTCTAAAGGGGAAGCCACCATATGAGGTTCACTCACCATAGGAGGAAACCTTGGAAATGATGTTTTTTTTGTTTTGTTTTGTTCCATTGTTTTGATTCAATTTTTGTGAATACTGTTGCCTCTCATTCCCGAAGATTATAAACTTGAAGGCTGCTTTTTTTCTGTTCCTAGGGCTGTTGACTAGAACTTTCTGTGATGATGGAAATGTTCTCTAACAGCAGTGTCCAATACACTAGCCCCAGCCACCTGTGGCTCTGGGCTACTGTGCTGAACAGCTCCACAGAGTTGGTAAAAACGTGTTAACCCAAACTGAGACTTTGTCCTTGATGTAGTCAGAACTGAAAGAGTTGCAAAAGGAATCCCTTTTTCATTATATAACTCAGCATTATTGAATGCTCAGCCTGTGTGCCATCTAGAATCTTCGGCATGCCACACTTGAGAATGTCCCATGATAGGAAGTTCATTGCTCTGGTGTGAGAATCCTGAGAACTATGCTTCAGTTCTTAGAGGGGCCCTCAGGGACAGTGGTCCTCTATTCCTTGTCTTTAAAATGGGGGACTGGTCCAAGTGTAATGAGTTATCTTAATTGATTGTTCACATTCGGTTACAGATTGGACTCCTTGTTCTACTCTTCCCCATTCTAACTACTGCACTTGACTGGTCTTAACTTTTTTTTTTTTTTTAAGATCAAGTCTCGCCCTGTTGCCCACACTGGAATACAATGGCGCAATCTCAGCTTACTGCGAGCTCTGCCTCCCAGGTTCAAATGATTCTCCTGCCTCAGCCTCACAAGTAGCTGGGATTACAGGCGCCCGCTACCACGCCCAGCTAAATAATTTTTGTATTTTTAATAGAGACAGGGTTTCACCATGTTGGCCATTCTTGTCTTGAACTCCTCACCTCGTGATCCGCCCACTTTGACCTCCCAAAGTGCTGGGATTACAGGCATGAGCCACCATGCCTGGCCAAAAAAAATTTTTTTTTAAATTTATAATAAAGTTGCAGGGGTTGGGAGACGGTCAGAGTAGGTAATTTCCAAGATAACTTTTGGCCCTGACGAGCTGTGATGCTGTGGGCGAGTGAGTGGCTCAGTGAGCACATGTGTGTCTCTGGATAACTGACAATGTGGTGCTCTCCTTTCCAGTGTGTCCCAGATGCCTGTGGCTGAGGGCAAGAGTGTTCAGCAAACCGTAGAGCTCCTTACCCGGAAATTGGAGATGCTTGGGGCAGAGAAGCAAGGAACATTTTGTGTGGACTGTGAGACTTACCATACGGCTGCATCTACCCTTGGCAGCCAAGGTCAGTGACATGGGTCTGTAGGATGGCTGGAACGAGGGTTGGAGTTAATAGACATTTGTGTTAATTGAAGTATTTCTGCTTTTCTGCTAAGGGTGGTGTTCTTAAACATGTGGCGAGATGTGTTTCTGAATTCATTAATTATTGGTTCTTTATCTCTTAGAATAGGGCCTTTGAAAGCTTTATTTTATTTTATTTTATTTTATTTATTTTGTTGAGACAGGGTCTTACTCTGTCGCCCAGGCTGGAGTGCAGTGGCATGATCACAACTCACTGACTGCAGCCTCGACCCCCTGGGCTCAAGTGATCCTTCCACCTTGGCCTCCTGACTTGGACTCCTGAGTAGCTGACACGACAGGCATGAGCCACCACACCTGGCTAATATTTTAAATTTTTTGTAGAGACAGGGTCTCCCTATGTTGACCAGGCTGGTTTTGAATTCCTGGCCTGAAGGGACTATCCAGCCTCAGCTTCCCAAAGTATTGGGATTATAGGTATGAGCCGCCACTCCTGGCTAAAGCTTTATTGAGGTATAGTTGATATACAAGCAGTTGCACACATCTAATGCATACATCTTAATGAGTTTGGATATATGCATACACCTATGATATCATCACCACAACCAAGGTACTAAACATATCTGTTACATCCCAAAATTTCTTTGTGTGTGTGTGTTTGTGTGTGTGTGTGTGTGTGTGTGTTTTTTTTAAGAGATAGAGTCTTGCTCTGTTGTCCAGGCTGGAGTGCTTTGGTGTCTCATAGCTCACTGCAGCCTCAAACTCCTGGGGTCAGGTGATCCTCCCACCTTAGCCTCCTGAGTAGCTGAAACTACTGGTATGTGCCACCATGCCTGGCTGATTTTTTTACGTTTGGGTGGGGTCATGGGAGTGTCTTACTATGCTGCCCAAGTTCGTCTCAAACTCCCAGTCACAAGACATCCTTCCACCTTAGCTTCTCAAGTAGCTGGTATCAAACTCCTGAGCTCAGGGGATCCACCAGCAAGGGCCTCCCGAAGTGCTGAGATGACAGGCATGAGCCACCATGCCTGGCCCTTGTGTTCTTTGAGTGCTTTTTGTTTTGTGCAGTTTGAACTCTAAAAGCAGTGTTTCTCAGAGGGTTAATCACTGACTAACCACATCAGAATCACCTGGGATACTTGTTAGAGTTGCAGATTCCTGGCCTTGTTTACTGACTGACTGCTGCTGTAGGCCACATAATCTACATTTAATAATCCAGACAATCCTTATGCACTCTGAAATTTGAGAAAGACTTGTTTTAGGCCCAGAAGTCTTTGTTTATGATTCTTTTAGAGCTTTAGGGCTTCTAGAAGTTTCTTTTTATAGAGTTCCTGTTTTCCTGCACCTAACCATTGGCATTGACCTCCTCATTAGCATAAATCAATTGTTCTTTTTAGTGGATTGAGTGATGACATGGGGTGTGGATGATGGGGGATGGTGGTTGGGAGGGAGAGAGGATTTTTTTTTTTTCTTTTTAGAGTGAGGGTCTCACTTTGTTGCCCAACCGTACAGTGGCATGATCACAGCTCACTGCAAGCTCTAACTCCTGGGCTCAGGCAATGAGAGACTCTTTGGATATGAGTTAGGGAACTTGTTTCTCTTAGTCTTGGCTCTGCAGTAACTTGACCTTGAACAGTTCCATAACACTGTGGTTATCACTGGGGAGCCAGAGCCCTGAGTCCTGGCTTTGCCACATTCTAACTGTGTACCTGTAGGTAACTCCAACAACCTATCTGTTACTATTTCCACGCCTCTCATGTACCTGTTTCCCTTAGATCCATTTCCTGCACTTCCTCTGTAAGCTGTATTTTCCAGGCCCTCTCCTAGTTAGCTTTGGTTATTGAGAGGCACCAGAGAAGATTAGAGGATGGGAGAAAGGAAGCCCACAGTGTTCCTCTCCCTCTGCTTTGGGCAGTGTCTCTAGCCATGGCTGTGTCTTCACTTCCTTGGTTCTAGCTTCTGCTAGGCAGCCCTCATTCCTGCCTCTGATAACAGCACATATTTTCTTTTCCCTTTAGCCTTAAGAATGGTAGTAGCTTCCTGTGTTGCTAATCTTTGGGTTGTCCCACCATCCTGTTTGGTTTTTCCTTTCTTCCAACCCGTGTATTTGTTCCCCGTATACATTTCTTCTACCAAAACTATCTGACATGGGCTCTGTTTTTGGACTCTTCCCCAATACAGTTCTGTCATCTATAAAATGAAGATAATCATAGTATTTCTCTCCTCATGTTGTGCTAAATAAGTTAATACATGCAAAGCATGTAAAACTGAGATTGTCATGTAATTTTTTTTTTTTTTTTTTTTTTTTTAGATGGAATTTTGCTCTTGTTGCCCAGGCTGGAGTGCAGTGGTGCAGTCTCGGCTCACTGCAACCTCCACCTCCCGAGTTCAAGCAATTCTCCTGCCTCAGCCTCCCGAGTAGCTGGGACTACAGGTGTGCTCCACCATGCCTGGCTCATTTTTGTGTTTTTAGTAGAGATGGGGTTTCACCATGTTGGCCAGGCTAGTCTCGAACTCCTGACCTTGTGATCTGCCCACCTTGGCTTCCCAAAGTGCTGGGATTACAGGCATGAGCCACTGCACCTGGCTTGTCATGTAATATTTAATGTAGTATTTAAGTAGCTAAGAGTTGTACTGAGCTCTTTTATCATCGTTGATAAAATTGCAGTTCCATTTGTGTTGCCTTCAATATGAAGGAGGTAAGAATCAAAAGATAATTACAAAAGCATTTGGGTAATAAAATATTTGGATATAGATATGAAATGACATATGACTTCCAGTGAAACTACCTGGTGTGGGCTGAGCAGGCCCTCACTTTCAAGAAGTTCCAGTCTAGTTGGTGAGACAGAACACCTTCATGGCAGGCAGTAGGGAACAATGGAAAGAGCAATAAACTTGGGGTGAGCAGGCCTGGGCTGGAGCTTCAGTCTTGCTGGTTACTGGCTCTGTGCCTGTAGTTCAGTGATTTTCACACTTGATCAGCATTAGCATCATCTGAAAGGCTTGTTACCACACAGACTGCTAGACCCCACCCCAAAGTTTCTGACTTAGTAGTCTGTCACCCAGGCTGGAGTGCAGTGGCATGATCACAGCTCATTATTGCCTCGACCTGCTGGGCTCCAGTGATCCTCCAGCCTCAGCATCCTAAATAGCTGGGGCCACAGGTGCGTGCCAGTATACCTGGCTAACTTTTTTATTTTTTTGTAGAGTCAAGGTCTCCCTGTGTTGCCCAGGCTGGTCTCAAACTCCTGGGCTCAAGCGATCCTCCCCGCCTTGGCCTCCTGAAGTGTTGATATTACAGGCGTGAGCGCCCTGGCTATAATTTGCATTTCTAATAAGTTCCCAGGTGGTTCTGCTACTGCTGCTGCTCTGGGATCCAATTAGCTTCATTTTCCTCATCTTTAGAAGGGGGACAGTAAAGCTGGTTCTCCTTGCTTCACAAGGTGGTACAGACATGAAAGGATTTTGCTGTGATAGAAAATACGATTGTCGGCTAGGCACGGTGGTTCACACCTGGAATCCCAGCATTTTGGGAGGCCGAGGTGGACAGATCACCTGAGGTCAGGAGCTTGAGACCAGCCCGGCCAACATGGTGAAACCCCGTCTCTACTGAAAATACAAAAATTAGCCAGGTGTGGTGACAGGTGCCTGTAATCCCAGCTACTCAGGAGTCTGAGGCAGGAGAATCGCTTGAACTTGGGAGGCAGAGGCTGCAGTGAGCCGAGATCACTCCATTGAACTCCAGCCTGGGCAACAAAGCTAGACTCTGTCTCCAAAAAAAAAAAAAAAGTACTATTGTCAGCTGAGTGCAGTGGCTCATACCTGTAATCCTAGCACTTTGGGAAGTAGAGGTGAGAGGATTGCTTGAGCCTAGGAGTTTGAGGCCAGCCTAGGTAAGATCTCGTCTCTACAAAAAAAAAAAAAAAAAAAAAAAAGTCTGGGCACAGTGGCTCACACCTGTAATCCCAGCACTTTGGGAGGCCAAGGCAGGTGGATCATGAGGTCAGGAGATCGAAACCATCCTAGCTTACATGGTGAAACCCCGTCTCTACTAAAAATACAAAAAAATAGCCAGGCGTGGTGGTGGGCGCCTGTAGTCCCAGCTACCTGGGAGGCTGAGGCAGAATGGTGTGAACCTGGGAGGCGGAGCTGGCAGTCTGGCAGTGAACCGAGACTGCGCCACTGCACTCCAGCCTGGGTGACAGAGTGAGACTCCGTCTCAAAAAAAAAATTTTTTTAAATGGTGGGCATGGTGATCTCAGCTACATGGGAGGCTGAGGCAGGAGGATTGCTTGGGCTCAGGAGGTTGAGGCTTCAGTGAGCTGTGTTCATGCCGCTACACTCCAGCCTAGGTGACAGAGCAACACCGTGTCTCAAAAAAAAGAAAAGGAAAATGTTATTGTCTATAACAACTAGAAGTGCCTTCTTC